GAAAGCTGACCGCTGAAGAATTGATGCTTTTGAATTGTGGTGCTGGAGGAGACTCTTGAGAGTCCCCTGGACTGCAAGGAGATCAAATCTATCCATTCTGAAGGAAATCAACCCTGAGTGCTCACTGGAAGGACAGATCCTGAAGCTGAGGCTCCAATACTTTGGCCATCTCATGAGAAGAGAAGACTCCTTGGAAAAGACCCTGATACTAGGCTGTCCCTCCGCCAATCTGTTATTGTTGAAGAATTCCACTTAATCCTTAATACCTAACAGAAAGGTAAACTGTTTTTGAGATGCATACAGATGTTAAGGATTGTACAGAGTGTGCAAGATAAGGCCAATAGATTGCCCTGCAATAATTTATTCATAAAATCAGACAAGCCAACAAGGCATGCAATCAACTGGGCTTTACAATATTCTCCATTGGCATTTAAAATTAAACATATTATATTTAAGCATTGGTCCATTGTTCAAGATCTACCAGGTTGTCAGTCCCGCCCCACTATTGGGTTTACTAAAACCAGAAATATCAAGGACCTAATTATTCAAACTGTTTTATCTGGACATCAACTCGCCTAGAGTAGACGAGCTACATAGAGTGGATGAGTAGTCCAGATAGGCGGGGGATAAATCAAACAAACAAACAAACAAACAAACAAACAAACAAATAAATAAATAAATAAATAAATAAATAAATACTCCTGGCACCTGGGTTAAGAGGTCACTTTAACTCTGGACCTTGTAAGGATTTTGGCCTCTCACTAAATGTAAAGGAGTTTATATATCCGGAAAGATTATATGCCATCCCACTTAATAATTTCAGTACCTGGAACACCAATAATGTGATATATGTGATCACATGCCCATGCCCCAAAATATATGTAGGGATGAGCACTAGACCGATCAAAGTACGTATCCTTGAGCACTGCTCCTGCATTAGAAACAAAATGCAGGGGGCTCCTCTAATGCAACATTTGCTTACCAAAAAATCATTCTGACAAGGACCTTAGATTTTGTGTGATTTACAAACATATTAAACATCAATTTTCCCACACTGACATCCACAGAATTTTATGTCAAAAATAAGCTTTTTTTGGATACATAGATTGCACTCACTTAGCCCAGCAGGACTAAACACCAACTTAAGCCTTTCAGCATTTTTATAAACTTAGGGAATTATACGATACAATAGAGAAGAAGGTCCCTTTTAGAAATTCTGGTAGCCATCAGGGAGTCTAAATTACCTTGATTTCTGGGAATAATTTACAACAGAGAACTAACATACAGATAAGAGGATGCCAGCATGTGGAATTGAATTATATTGTAAGATATTGTTCATATTACCTAATAGTGGGGAGAGTATGACCACCAAACTGAGGTCTATTATTATTGTTTTTGAAAACCATTTTAGGTTAATGAATGTTCCTGTTTCCAGCATCTTGGAGGCTCTAGGGATATCTTCTGAAGAAGTAAAAAAAACAACCCAAAATGAGCTTGGTGGACAATTATTTAAGCTTGGAGCTCACCAACCACCCCTAGGATCCAAGACCTTGACCACATATATGAATGGAATTTTTATTTAACACTTCCAGACTCTAGACTTTGATTTTCTATGAGTAGAGAGACTGGACTGCACATATTTGCATTGGAAAACTTTATTATATAATTTACTTGCTTAGTATTAGACAGAACATTGTTAATATATACTGTATTGTTTGACAGTCTGATATAGTGTTGATGTTGATACTTTTGTACATCACATACTAATACTCTAGGTTTTTGTTCAGATGCAATACAGTTTCCTATGTTTGATTATCTTCTATTCCATACTCCCTAGATTTTGATAAGCTAATGGCAAGAATCTGATTGTTTTTTATGATGTGTGTGAAATTGCAGAAGTTACTGTGGCCAACTGAGGAGGTTGCTGGTTGTGTGCCAGTCATGTGACCAGGTACATTGCCAACATACATCTGCACCTCGCCTATTAGGCATGATGGCTTTTCTGAGTCCTCCACACACATTAAAAACTAACAGAATGCTGGGCAATCAATTTAATTGTGTTTTTAATATTATGATTTAATATATTTTAGGTATATTTGTGTGTATTTATTTCAAGCTACCTTGGATCAAAGAATTGGGAGAAAGATAGGCAATAAAATAAAATAAGATAAAATAAAATATTGTTGCATCTTCTTTCAAAGGCAAATGCTGATTATATTGAGGTACAAAAATACTAGGCTGGATCAAGAACTGCATTATTTGAAATCAGTGGGACTTAAGTCATTGCTAACTTGCCCTAGAGATTTCAATGAGATGCAAGTACCAATAACTTACTCTCATCCACCCCACTGGGCTAGGAAGAAATAGCTTCCACTCCAGGAAAAAAAGTACCAGCAACTGAATTCCTGTCATCACACTAGTCTTCTTGAAAAATCTAGAGAGATGGACACTACTTGATGCCATTTGAAAAGCATTCTGCTAAGGCACATTGCATCAGTAGAGCCTTTGAGACACTCACTTCAGGCTTGTCCTTGTAGTTTTTCCCCAAAAGGCCTTTATAGTTTGCCACTGTTAAGCTGTGACAGCAATTTGCCACATCTAACCGACAGATGATGACCCTCTATTTCAAGTGATTCCATCTGACAAGCTCTCTGCCTTAGTCCATTAGCCCTTCTGAAGTGTTATATAGTCTGACACCTTCGGAAGCTATCTGCATTCAATTGATGGGAGACTATTCCCCCCCACTCTTTAAATCAAAGTTACATGGCAGCCGGGCTTGAGGAGGGTCCCAAAAAGGAAGAGGATTTGCAATACATTCATCCAAATTTGCCTGTTAGAAATTAAGAACAGCAAAACTCTCGAGGCTTTGAACTCTGCTTTGTTGCTCCCGAACGATATGAAGCACAATGCTTATTCTCACCATGAAGCAAGCCAATAAGGCAGTGTTTTAAGGGGGCAGAGAAGAGAGGAGGATGGAAATTTGTTATCTGATTTGCTAAAAGCTGTACAAAGTAGTTTTTCAAGATGCGCATGCTTTCACATTTTGAGTTAAGAGAATGTGGTACTTTATACACATACAGAGACTCTAGGGCATTTTACTTTGAAATCTGTTTAAAAGATGTTTTAAAAAATGAAAACACACATACCTGTGTTCACATTTTGGTTTCAGAGGGATTAGTTTAAAAGACAGAATTGTGCTTGGATTTGCTGAGGCAGACTAACAAGTAGGATTCTTCAATTGATTCATTTGTCATCTGTACATTATCAGCAGGATATTTATTTCTAGTGATATGTCAGCTGGGTTGTGAACAGAGATGGGCACAAACAGAACCACAAACTGGGGTGGGGGGTGGGACAACATGAATTGAGCTGGTTCGTGACTCGGTCATAGTTTGAGTTCAGTCCTATCAGGCACTAGTTTTCATCAGGCACTGGCCCATTAATGTAACAAGTTTTCCTGTGTGTACCTCTTTACCTTCTGTATGTACATAAATTCCATTAACAACTCAAAATCCCTATTTGCAGCACAACTCATCAAAGCCTCATTTTCTTATACAGTCTAAGGAAATGCAAAGGGGAAAAAGCAGAGTGGTAGACCCAGGTTGGACAGAACTTTACATTTTCAGTTGTGCAAACACTGGTGGAATGTGCACTGGTACAATATGAGAGCTTAAGTTCTGCAGATGTAAGGAATTTTTAAAAGAAAAATATGCAGAAGTATTTCTGTGTAAACACATCTTACTAGTAAGAGTATAAAACTATACAGCTGACTATAAGATGCACTATGTAAGTTAGAGATGGATCACATGTGTCCCTGAGAGGCACTGGGTGGCTGCCAAGGTCACCACAGATTCCACCCCCCCCATTTAATTATTCATTCTTGGAGGCTACCAGGATCCGCAATCCAAGGCTCTCCCATCCCGTCCACAAACAGAAGAGGAAACTGGAGATATTCATTACCAACCCCCAGCTTTTATATAGCTGAAAATGGCCATTTCTGATATCCTTTTCCCCTTGTGTTGTAAATTCATTTCTGCTCCAGTCCTCCACAAAATTCCCCCCCTTCCACATTATTTTTTTATACGGAAAATAAAAATTTGTTTCCTTGAGTGAACTCTGGTTCAGACAGAAAAATGCAACTGTACTAATTTGGTATCCGTACCCTTATCTATATTAAGTGAATCAAAAATACTGTGAGTGATTATGACCATTTGCTATATGAATGATGAATCAGTAAATAGAATGCATCTTCAGTGCTAGTTTTTCTGGGATAAATCTATTTCATCTCTTTACTAGCATCTCTTGCAGAGCAAATAATGAGTTCTGAAAGATAAACTTACAACACAATGCCTTTTGTAGCCTCCGGATTTTGATGGCTGTACGATATGCGGAAAATCGCACATTGTTCAAATCAGCTGAAAAATGGCACATGGTAAGAATGTTAGTGTATTCAAAGTAATTGTGAATAAGTACTATGTGATCACATACACTGAGTATTTACATTTTAAATATACAAAATCAAGGGGAAAAGTGGGGAAGGAATTAATTACTTCAGATCAAGCCACAAATTCAAAGTCAGTTCCATATGAAATGATGGACACTGATAAACATTTTAGCAAGTTCTAATATCATAGTCAATATTGCTTGAATGCACTCACATAAATGAATTTTTTCCACACTTCTATGTAGCAATATATGCAAGTAATCCTAATCATTTTTTGTACATGGCACATTTCTAATGTGACCAAGAGGAATACAGAACTGATAAACAAACCTAAATATGTAAATAAAAGTTATCTTTGACACTCTTTCAGTTCGGAAGCTGCAGCTCATACATACTGTATACAACCCACTTAAACAAGATTAGGAATATGTCAAATAAATCAAGCACTTGAGAGTGTGTTTCTTTCCAACTGTGTTCCAACTGAGGGAGTGTCAATTGCCAACTGTGTTCCAACTGGATGCCAATTCTAAGTGACAGACAGTGCAACTGACCCCTTTTTATGGATTTGGCCATTTCCAAGTTTTCATAGCCACACTGGAAGCAGTCACAAGAAATTAGCTCCTGTCTACAGACACATCTTGAGAGGGTGCATTCAAGATTTAGAGAATAAAGAAACTATGTACTCAAAAGTAATTTACATTCCTTTTCAATTTAAATTCCTTAGCTCTTACTAAGATGGGTTTTATTGCTCATGTTCTAGCAGAAATATATTCCAACTTCAGAATGCTACCACACATTTTGAAAGTATGTTTGACCACATAGGGATACATATGTTCTTTTTTATACGCTACTACAAAAAAGGAGAGATTTATTTTTAAGGAATAAATCACAATCTATCTTCCATTTCATTATGATAATTACAATGTTTTCCCACAATTAACTATTATTATAAGGCACTTTACGCTCAATACAAAATGTTTGAACAACACACTTCAAAATGTAAAAGCATTCTGAATTGCACTTTATGCTCAATATCAAGTACAGTGGTGCCCCGCATAGCGACGATAATCCGTTCCAAAAAAATCGTCGCTATACGGATTCGTCGCTGGGCAGGAAGGGGTGCACCACCCACCGCTAGCCAGCCAACCCCGGATGCCTGGTCTCCTTGGCGGGGCACAGACGGGGCAAGGAGGGGGTCTCTGGTGCGCTGCCCCCCCGTCCAGACACTGCCACCCTGATCCTGGTCCCCGGCGGGTGCCTCCTCCTTTGCAGCGCCTCCCACCGCGACAGCTCTCTGGCTCGGCGCCCCAGGGCTGCGCGCAGGGATCGGGGCCAGGTCCTTTGCCCCTCCTTCCCTCCCTCCTCCCTCGGTGCCAATCCGGACCACCCCCGCTCCCCCCTCCCACGGTCCCCTATCTATGCAGGAGCTCTGGGGGGGTAGTGCGTCGCCGATCAGCTGTTTAAAAAGCCTTGCTTGCGGCACCGATCAGCTGTTTAAAAAGCATTGCTTTGCCATGATTGGTTCCCCAAGCAGGGAACCAATCATCGCAAAGCGAAATTCCCCCATATAAAAAGCATTGCTTTGCCATGATCGGTTCCCCAAGCAGGGAACCGATCATCAGAAAGCGAAATTCCCCCATAGGGAACATCGGAAAGCGATCGCAAAAGCGATCGCAAAATCTTCATTGCAAGGCGATTTCATCGTTATACGAAGCAATCGCTATGCGAGGCACCACTGTATTCAAATAACTCACTGAGATATCTGTAATCTATGGTGCACAGTGAACCTGCATATGACAATAAACATGTCTATCATCTTATCCCATGTACACGTGACCTGTTAATTTTAACCAAAAAGAAAAAAGAAAGAAAAAAAAAGCCCACTCACCTAGTGACTGGAAGAGTTCAGTCATTTTAGGATGGTCCCAGCAGGTTGTCTGAGTCTGGTGACTATGGAAGAAAAAAAAGTCCTCATTATTATTCATAGGCAAAAAAGCAATAACTACAGTAAATATTTGGCAACAGTTACATCGAAGTGACCAACATGAATTTGACCCAACTCCTGGAGGCAGTGGAAGACAGGAGGGCCTGGTGTGCTCTGGTCCATGGGGTCACTAAGAGTTGGACACAGCTAAATGACTAAACAACAACATTTATGAAAGGGGAACATTAGCATTATCATTTGAAAGGCAGCATTAACACTAACACAGGCTCCCAGGGGCAATAGAAACAGTGCTAATCATCGAAAAGAACTTTGGACTCTTGTATCTTAACCAATAGCCCAGTGGGTCAAATAGCAAGCCAGGGAAAGCTGTATTAGTGTGTGATGTGGCATGTAGATCCACTAGGTGAAGAGCATGCATGAAAACCTTGACTGACATCAAATTAGTTCTTTGGATTGTATTTCATATTTACATTTGAACACTCTTTGAAATGTTGAGTAACAAGCACACTGCTCTATATTAGAGTATGGGCACAACAGTAGATTGGAATCTACTATTCTCCAAATAGTTTGCAGTAGACCATCAAGGGGTTCTGAATTTTGATGTTATATCAACAGAGAAAACAGAAGACTCTCCTTTCATTCTAAATCAAGGCTTGGGAGTCAAGGAAGCTTAGTGAAAAACTATACATTTCATTCTGAAAGGATTTCTGAACAATCCTCAGTTCTGGTACTAAAAGCACATTTCTGGGCTGAGTATGTGCTTGAAAGTGCTGCTCCTTAATTCTATATATGCTTTCTTACACCAACGTTTTGCAACTGATTCTGACTGATGGCACCACAGTTCTCATGTCAGCTGATCCTGGACCATATTATGCAATTGTTGGCCTCCTTCACTTTTCTTTGATCGCGAGTCTTGTTGATGTCAATACGTGGTCTTCCTTCCTTTTTCATGTGATACTTTTTCATGTGGGAGTCAAGGAAGCTTAGTGAAAAACTATACATTTCATTCTGAAAGGATTTCTGAGCAATAGTTCTGGTATTAAAAGCACATTTCTGGGCTGAGTATGTGCTTGAAAGTGCTGCTCCTTAATTCTATATATGCTTTCTTACACCAACGTTTTGCAACTGATTCTGACTGATGGCACCACAGTTCTCATGTCAGCTGATCCTGGACCATATTATGCAATTGTTGGCCATAGTGTGGTTTTCCTAAAGAAAGAGCTTGAGTGTGCAAATACAGGTAAATTAAGTATACAGTTTGTATATACATGTTCTTTTTCTTTAAACATATATTACCTGCATCTTGGGATAAGGTTTATCTTTTCAGTGTTTGACCGGAAATGCCAACTCCCACAAATTTAAGTTTATCAAACATGTCAAGGACAGAAACACTGGAATTCCATCTGTACTAAGTTCTACCTCAGATGCAACATGTGTTGCTTTGTCCTTTATTGCTGGTATCTGTTATATTTAGTTCATGCCCATATTCTGACTGCTATATGTGATCAGAACCCTATCTATTAATCAGTGCCATTTGGACTACTTGTGTACCAAATTTTAAAATCTTCTGAGAGCCTTGGGGCAACTTTCACTCTTCTAGAATATACGTTTGAAGTGTCTTCTGTCAAGTATCTGAAGTAAAAAAAGCAAGATACTGTTGGTGCACACTAAATTTTAGTTAAGGGAACAGGCTTGCAGGAGCCTCTTCAGACTTTCACACTGAATATGCCAACATTGGTGGAGAAGGGGTGCTGGAGGTGGGATTTACTTGTGTAATCCTACCTCCCCAGCACACTTCAATCCCTACATTGTTTCAGGCTAAAATGCTGAATAAGTGTCTCTCTGTATTTCTTATCTACCCAGCTTGCCTCAGATCTGGCTTCTTTAAAGAAAAGTAATGTTACACTGAGATTTTTAATATTAAAGTAGAGTATTTGCCAATATTATTAACACTGAATTGTAATTAAAAATATCTGTATATATAGTAACCTTAACAGTTAGCAAAATACTCAAAGTACAAAATGACCTTTAATTCACTCATGCTAAAGATGAGGAAATAATTACTTTAATATATTGCTACATTTACCGTTTAAGAGCATTCAAATGTAATGAATATTACATTTTACCCCCCATTTAACCCGTCAAGATCTTGCGTATCCAGCCGTACAAATAAGATGAAATTTAGCTTGATCAGAGAACTTTCAGATCTATTGCTTTCCATTTGTCGTGTCCTATTTTCTATACATTATTGGTCCATGAGTCATTCTAGCTACATTCCAGTGCATACATTTAGATCTGATTAACATGAAAATTAATTTAATTAGATTTGTTCTGTAAAGTAAACTATGACTTAATATTATCAAATAGACCTATGTATTAGCAAATTAAGTGGTATTTAATGAAGCAGTAAACTGTATTCTCTCATTTTACTTAAACATCAACCTGCTCTAACAGGACTCTACATTTACTTAGAAAAGTTAATGGATAAAGCAAGTGGGCACAATCTATTGTGATGCTGTTGGAGTTTTTTGCAACCGCATGCTGTCTTTAGTAGATTTGGTTGGGAGACATTAGTGGGTTAGGGTGGCTGTCAATCTGTACAGCACTAACCAATAGTTCCTTCCTTGTCGTTGATTCAAAGCGAGTGCCACCTCTCTCCTTTTTCCTTCTCTGTTGTCAGTTTGCAGTCTGTAGTCTATTGAGGCCTATTTACTCAAAGGAGTCATATTTGTTCCTTTACTGTTTGATCTGATTAATCGTAAGTAATGAAACATTTGTTCTTTCTCTCACTAATGTCTCAGAGTTATTGAGACTGTAAGTGCCAGTTAATGACAAAGGGGGCAGTATACAGTGGTGCTTCACTTAGCGATCGCTCTGTTGAGCGATGAAATTGCTTAGCGATGGGGTTTTGGCCATCGCCAGAGCGATCGCTTAGTGATGGCCCCTATGGGGAAAAATCGCTTTGCGATGATCGCGGGGAAGCGGTCATCGCAAAGCCCCCATTTTCGGCCAGCTGATTGGCAGTTCCAAAATGGCCGCTGGAAAAACAAAATGGCCGCCCGCTGTTTAGCCTCGCTTTAGAGGCACCGAAAATGGCTGCCCCTATGGAGGATCTTCGCATAAGGTCAGTTTTGAAGCCCATAGGAATGCATTAAACACATTTTAATGCTTTTCTATGGGCTTTTTTATTCCGTTTAGCAATGAAATCGCTTAGTAACATTTTTCCTGGAACGAATTAACATCGCTAAGCGAGGCACCACTGTACTCTGGGGAACATGAAGCTGTTCTGCTCTGTAAGTCCCTGCACTTCTGCTGTGCAGCTACAGAAATTTAACCAATGCTCAAAACTCTTCAATAGATACTTTATAGTGTCAGCCTCAATAAGCTGAAGAACTAAAACTGAACAAGATCTTATCCAACCTACTTTATTATTAAAATATTTCCAGCCTGCCTTAAATCAGAAGATCTCAAGGAAGGATACAATGAACAAAACAACTTTTAAAATATATATACCTTTATATACAAATTTAAAACAAGTAAGTCTTCAAAATAAATCCATAGTCTGACAGACTGAAAACCAAGCCATGATGTCAATAAATCCCAAACAGTTGGATAAATAGCCATATTTAACTTGGAGTAAAAATTGGTGGAAAAAAACATCAATAGCCTTCAATGTGCAGATGATCCAGCCCTCCTCTCTGACACCCAGGAGGTCTAAAGTATCTGATCATAAAACTCAAACAATTTATTTATTTATTTATTTATTTATTTTATTTATATTCCGCCTATCTAGTCGATAGACCACTCTAGGCGGCTTACAACATGGGATACCACAATAAAAACAACAGAATTACATAAAAGAAAACTTTCAACAATTGGGTTAAAACATTAGGAAAGAAAAGAGAAGGGGATCAGGAATTAACTAGGAGGGAAGGCCTGCCGAAACAAGAAAGTGAGACCTTTGGCCTCTTTTTTTTCCTTTCTTTTTTTAATTAGTAAAATTGGAATAAATCGAAACATCAAAATAGTATGCTCTCGAAGGCTTTCACAGCCAGGATCTGATGGTTGTTGTGGGTTGTTCAGGCTGTTTGGGCGTTTTCTGGAATTTTTTGTTCCTAACATTCCACCAGTCTCTGTGGCCAACATCTTCAGAGGACAGGAGCTAGAATTCTGTCAATCACAGTGACAGATCATCTCCCTCCCTTATCACAACAAAACACCCATAACAAAAAACAGCCTGATCACAGGAAATACCCAATCTCCTGAAAAAGACAACATCAGCAGCAAAAACCCTTATCCCACAACTACAAATCCCACACACTACACAGACAGAATTCTAGCTCATGTCCCCTGAAGATGCCAGCCACAGAGACTGGAAAAACATTAGAAAGGAAAAAACCTCCAGAACATTGCCAAACAGCCTGAGAAACCTACAACAACCATCAAAATAGTAATTGGTGGTGAAGAGGTTGAATGTGTGGATGAATTCATCTTTTTAGGTTCACTGGCCAATCAAAATGGTAATTGCAGCCAAGAAATAAAATATAAAATCATGCTAGGTTGCACAACAATGATGAATGTGAATCAAATATAGAAAAGTAAGGAGGTCAGCTTGATTACCAAGTGCAGATTAGTTCACACCATCGTTTTCCCCATAACTACATATGGCTGTGAAAGCTGGACGTTGAAGAAGATGGATAGAAGGAAAATTGACTCTTTTGAGCTATGGTGTTGGAGGAGGCTCTTGCACATTCAATGGACTGCAAAGATAATGAATAAAGAAGTGCTAAAGTGCATAAAACTGGACATGTCACTAGAAAGTGAAATAACAAAACTTATTTCAGCCATGTCGTGTGATCAATAGCTTTGGAGAAAAACGTTATGCTTAGAATGGTCAGTGATAAAAGATGACGAGGACAACAAAGAATGAGTTGGTTGGATGTAATCAAAGCAGACACTGGCCAAAATATAAAACGGCTGAAAGAAGCTGTACAAGATCGGAAAT